TCTGTGTGTATGTGTGTGTGTTCACATTTCCAGTATTCTTTGCAACAGATGGTACCAAAGGCCCTTCAGATGAGTGGGATTACCTGTTACAGTGTAGAGAAAAATCAGTTTATTACCCTATAGAGTGAATACATTTTATGTAACTAATGCCTTTGCTGAGAATACTTTGGAACTTTCTAGCATATCAGCAGGAAATGTTTCACATCAGTAGGTGTTTCAAAACAAACAACACTTAGCGTTTGCTATGTGTCAGGCACTATTCCGGGTGCCTTGAAGGCTCCAGGTGTTTAATCCTCAGGATAATTCTATTGTGTTGATATGCCTGTTATCTACATTTTATGAGGGAAGGGAACAAAGTAGAAGCTGGCTAAGAAACTTGATCAAGGTCACACAGGTAGAAGTGTGTGTCTGGCGGCCCTGTTTCAAACCAGAATTTTGGCTTTAGAGCTCCTGTTACTGATATTGCACACAGTCAAAGGCCTTCCTGGAGACATGAATCTTTTGTCTCTTTCCTCCCACTCTGCAATTCCGTCACCATCCCAGATTTTCACCTGCTGTTCTGGATTTGAAGTGAGGTCCACATGTGGTTTGAGTCCCCTGAGATGGAGTCTCTGAGGATGTAAACCGAGAAAGCAGAACTATGGAGTTAGTGGAGTTAACTCGGGGGTGTTTGCCAGCAGGAGAGAACAGATGCCGCTAAACCAGAAAGAGACGAATGTTCACTCCAAGCCCTGCTGCCGAGAGCCTCTTTGTTTTATGACTCTGGGTGCAAGCAGCCCTTTTAATTTTGTGTTTTGGATTCCAGCCATAGGAAGTCTTCTTTAATGTAGCAGATGGCTGGAGACAGGCGAGCCAGGTTCTTACATTCTGCATTAAGCTGCCTTCCCCAGAGAGGAGTCTCCTAATTATGCTGATGTAAAAAAGAAGAGAGCATGTAACGTAACATAGACACACTAGTTGTTTACCATGTGTAAAGCAACTGCTGTCTTAAGTGTCTAAAAGCATGTGGAAATCAGGAAGCCATTTGGGAAGCTCGTGAAAGCCATGGGCTTTTTCTTTAGAAAATTTGTGCATAGGTATACACACACACACAAATGTTTTCAGTAATTGAAGGAGCTCATGATTCTCTACTGTCATTCCTGAAGCTTCAAAGAGTCCGAGGTTGATAGTTTCCTGGGCTTTGAGGGGACACAGCTGTTATTCTCTTCATTTTCCTCCTCCTTTTCCTCATCCTCTTTCTCCTCCTCCTTTTCTTATTTGTTAGTGTTGCAGCTTCTAAGTTATGAAAATAGACTCAGCTATATGTTCTTTCTGATTTTTGAAACAGCTCACTATACAGTCCAGGCTGGCCTTGAACTCACTATCCTCCCATCTCTGCCTAGCCAGTGTGACATTACAGGTGTGTGCTGCCACACTTGGCTTAATGATCAGTGTGAAAGCCTTCCATACCAGAACACTAGAATTTTACTTGGAAATACTTTCAGTTATTCTACAAAGATCACTCTAGGGTAATCTCCAACTGGTATGGTCCTTTGGTTTATTCTCTTGCCTTTTTTAAGATTTATTTTTATATTTAATTATGTGTATGTATATGTGCACATCTCTTGTGGGTGCACGCATGCAAGCGCAATTGCCCATAGAGCCCAGAGGAGGGCGTTGGTTCTCCTGGAGCTGCAGTTACAGGTTGCTAAGCACCCCAACTGGGTTCTGGAATCTAACTCCAACCTCTGGAAGAACAGTTTGCGCTCTTAGCTGCTGGCCGCCTCTCCAGCCCTCGTTTATTCTTCTGAAAGACAAACATGAAACATCTGACCAGCTGTGCTATAGACGCTCACCTCACCCTGGCTGGTGAAACATCTTCTCCTGTAGTTTCTTTGGAGCACCACTGGTTTTGAAACTCTGCTTGGCTTAGCTGTGCTTGCCACATTGTTTCTATTTCTCAGGATAGAGCCTGGGGGTGGCCTGACAGTGGAAGAGCTTAGAGAGAACTCTCAGAGTTTGAAAGGAGGTTTTGTTCTTCCTGTACACTTGGACACTTCTTCCTCTGGTGTCTGCTTTCCATAACTTTGAGGAAGGGAGGTGTCTCATGGGGCTATGCAGCTATGGATGCTTGTGATGATGCTTCTGCTGGGTGATACCCCCAAACACTGAGTTCTTCTAGTTCCACTGGGTGTGCAGGTATATTAGCAAAAGGCGGACTTGAAATACTTAATAATTTTCAACCGAACCCCAACTTGCCTCGATTATTTTATATTTAAAAATAAACTTGAGAGATTATGATCCATGTGTTTTCTCAATTTTCCTGAAAATTGCTTACTTCTTGGATCAGGAAAAATTTAAGGTGGTAAGTAGGCCATGGATAAATAAACCCTTTAGGCTAATTCTATTTATCAAATAACTAATTTAATCAGTTACTGAAAAGAACTAGAAAGAAGGGGTCCAATTTCTTCCTAAAGTGAATTTAATCAAATACAAACCATTTGGTGTTTGAGGCTTTTTGCCTCTGAGGCTAGGTAATTCTTACCTGAAGGAGGTCATTCCATACATTTAGAGCAGCGCTTCTCAACCTGTGGGCCAGGATCCCATTGTGGGTTGAACGGCCCTTTCACAGGAGCTTCCTATGACCATCAGAAAACAGATATTTATATTACAGTTCATAGCAATAGCAAAATTCTAGTCATGAAGTAGCAATGGAAATAATTTTATGGTTGCGGGTCATCAGAGTATGAGGATCGGTATTAAAGGGTTGCAGGATTAGGAAGGTTGAGACCTGCTGATTTAGAGTATTTATATCATTGCTGGCCTCTACCTGCTAGGTTCCCATGACCATCCTGCCTGGGACAACAGAGGGAGTCTTCAAACTGCTAGGAGGGCTATCCTTCTTGGTTGACAACTGCAGGCCTTAATGATGCAGAAACAGATTTCTCTACCAGTAAGGAAAATCAAGCATGGAAGCTAGTGTGAGGTGAGCTCCCTGATCAAGTGACAGTCTAACCTTGGAAATGTTTTCTTTCTTTTTTACCAACCCTGATGTCCCACTGCCTATAGCATCTGTTCAGATCACCTGTCTGTCCTATGTCTGTTCTTAGAAGCAGTTGTTTACCCAAAGCAAGGCTTCCTTATGCCTCAGGCAAGCCTGAGGATTAGACTTGACTGTGTAATTCCTGGCCCCTCTGATTTCTACACCCTGTGAAGTTTAGGTTACTTCTCCGGAAGAGTTCTACTGGCTGCTACAGTTTCCATCCTCCTTTCTCTGTTATTACCTGTTGCAGCTGAAGGCCTGGCCTGAGTATACAAAGCCACCCCAAAGCCTGGGGTCTCTAGTTGATTTGATCAGTATGCAGCTGCACAGTTGAGGAAGTAAAACAGTTGATTCTAGGGCTATAGCCATGATTCTGGGCAGGACCCCAGGACTCACAAAGTGTCCTTACAAAAATGCACACAGTTTGTTTGTGGAAGGATTTTTACTAGTTGTTTGAAGTGAGGAGTGGTGCTGATACACATAATAGTCAACAAAGCCCTATGCAAACATGAATTCTGAAAAAAGGGCATTCTTTTGGTAGGGTTAGAGGTACTTCTGGGAGTCGTAAATCCATGCCAGGCTCCAGAACCCATGCCTTCCAGAACCCATGCCTTCCAAGGGCTGGAAACATTATAGCTAAACAACAGAATCAGTAAGCACAGCAGAGTCAACGCACACAGAGCACTTGTTCAAAAGTTTATGATGTAGTAAAGACATTTAAGACGGAGACCTAAGATTGTGAATTGATAGCCAGCACCCTAAATTGAGACCATGGGTTTGTTTTGTTTGGCTTGGCTTGTGCCTGGGTGAGTCTTCTCTATGTCTAAAAACAGAAGGGCAGGGAGCCCAGGAAAGAGACAAACAGGCAGCTGATCAGATAAATGTGATTTTCTTTTGTATAAAAAGATACATTTTCAACCTTCTTTGCAAAGCCAGAAGATCTGTCAATACTGGGCCCATATTCCCCCACTTCTTGCTGCTGACGGTTGGCTACAGTCAAAAGCAGCTGCCTTTCTTGCTAGGAGTCAGTGGTCTATAGTTCTCCAGCTCTGACCCAGCTCTCTTCTGTCACCATTTGAGAGGGGCCACTTCGATGAAGCATCATTGCGGCATTTATTTAATCTCCCAAATGGAACAACATGGAAACTCCCCATTTGTGTATCAAGTGAGGTGACCTCAGCACAAGCCACGGAAGTGGCAATAAAGGTAATGAGAAATTGTCAGAGTTAAGGCATACCGAATGCCTTATTATGTATTAGAGGATGACCAGAAAAGGTTAAAAATAGTTCCAATTTGTTTAAAAAGAAAACGATAGACAGTTTTGAACACGTTTAAAAATAAACACAAAATTATTTAAAAGCTTTCCCTTGCTGTCCAAATCAGGTGCCCTTGTACAGATATCATATTTCTTAGAACGCTGACCCTTTGGGGAATTCGGAAGATAAGAGAAGCAAGACAGCCCGATTAGGATGGAGCTGGCCTGTGGACAGCATTTGCACCTCCATGCCTTCACTTGCTGAAGCTTGAGTGCCCAAGGCCCTCCTTGCTTCTAGAAGTGGGGCAGTGTTCCCTGAACAACTGGGGTTGTGTCCGGTGAAACGGACAGTCCAACTGAGCTTCTGGTCCAGCCTTGTCTTCATCTGAATCTGCGGAGGAGGATTTTTCTTTGGGCGTGATGTTATGGCTGCACCTAGTGAGCTGTACATACGATGCGCAGAAATAAGTCTCTTTCTATTCGGATTTATATCACAAGTCAACGAAAACGGCGAAGTTGTAGCTGAAGATACTTTTTAAGGCTTTATAGAGGCTAGAAAGGTCTCCAGCGGTCCACAGCGAGGATAGTCGTTTCGTTCGAAGGCGGGTTAGTTTAGCTAGCGCAGCGCCTGCAGCCAGCGCCATCGGCAGGCCCGCCGGGGGACGCCGAGAAGCCAGGCCGCGGCCATTCCCGACGCGCATGCGCGGCCTCAGCGGCCCTCCGCCGGCCCCCTCCCCCTCGTCATCCGGGTCCCGGCCGAGCGGGCGCCGAGCGCTTGTCCCGCGGCCGAGCTGCTAATAAAGTTGCGGCGCGTGCACGGCGCAGCGACGGCTTGAGGAGAGCGCGCCCGGGCGGCGGGGAGGTGAGCGAGGGGCTCCCGGGGCGGGCGCTCGGGACCCGACGGGGGGACCCGCGCGGCGGAAGCGTCCTGCGGCCCGGGCGGAGGCCTAGCGGGTCCCCGCGCGGGACCGGACGGGACGCCGCGCGGCCTGGGGGAGCTGGGAGGCCTGGGTGCCGAGGAGGCCCCGCGCGGTCCCCCGGAGCGGACGAGGCCCGTGCCGCCCCGGCGCGCCGAGCGGTGCAGACGGCCTAGGCCGAGCCCGCGGCCCGCCGCTTTGTGTGTGCGAGATAAGGATCCGCGCTTATCGGTGGGAATTACACTCCGGCCCGCGGCGACCCGCCCCTGCGCCCGCCCGTCACTCCTGGGGACGTCGCAGAGGTTCTTGCGCTTCTCTCAACTTGGTGTGAGCAACCCAAGCAGCTTTTGTCTGTCGCCCGGTCCCGGTGGTTAATTTGGGCATGCGTGCCCAAGTTCACACTCTACCCCCTCCCCCTGCCCTGGCTCCTTTTCGCCTCTCCGAGGCGCTGGCTGCGCCGAGGTGGGAGCCCCAGCTTTGAGAGGTGGCGGCGACCGTCCCAAGTCGGAGTATGTCCAGTAGTTTTGGTTGCAGAAGGAGCTGGGGAGGATGGATGGTCGAGGTATTTGGAGGTGTGCCAGCTTGCCGAAGCGTGTGTCCGGACTCCGGTTTTGGTGGCACCGGCGAATGGAGCCCAGGCCAACCTGGAAGCCGGGAATGGCCGAATACCCTAGGCTAGATCTTTATCTTGATTGTAAAGACAGTGTTTCCTGAGCAGCTGGAGGTGGTTGGGGGGTGGGGGCGTGCTCCTGGCTGCTTTTGCGTTTAAATGGGTGTGGTGCTAAGTATATCTTGTTTATCTTTCTGTGGAAAAGGTTTAGAAGTCTGGTCGTTTGTCGCATCGTGTCTGTTGCCTAGTGCCATCAAGGGTGTTCCTATCTAGCAACAGAGACTGGGTGATCGGTGGTTTGTTGGTTGGCTCTACGGAAGCTGAGAGAAAAGCGTACCCGTGATTTTCTTTTCTTTCTGACACGTTTGCTATGCAGACCTTGAACTCGGGCCAATCCTCCTGCCTCAGCTATCAAGTGCTGGGATTACAGGGGCGAGCCATCACCAGTCTGGCTGTGTTTTTCGTTTTTAAACGAACAGGGCTTGGATTTTCTTAGTGTATGGGAGTTACCATTAAAGTTGAAAACCCAACAGGTTTTGTAACACTCAGTTACTAACGTTTTTGCTAGACACCAGCCCATAGTGCCTGTTGTAGGAAAACGGTTCCTACCTGCAGCAGGACAGTTTCACTCTCAGGTGCTTTCTCAGGAGATTATGTCCCAGATTTTGTAAGGAAAAGAGTTAGTGGGGTCAGTAGTAACAAATTACACTTTTTTTTAAATCCCCTTTGATAACATCTTTTTCCTCTAAAATGAACCCTGTTATTATAAAAATCCAAAACAACTCAGAAGAATCAGTCAATCAAAATCTAACCTATATGAAGTTTGTACATATTTAGAAAAAAAAAAAAAGTAATTTTGTAGCCAAGCATGGTGTCCCACACCTTTAATCCCAGCACTTGGGAGGCAGAGGCAGGCAGGTATGTGTGAGTTCCAGGCCATCCAGGACTGTGTAGGGAGGCCTTGTGTGAAGAGACATCTCATTTTGTTTATAACTGCTTACACCGCTGCTTCCTCACTCAGTCTTTTTAAGGGCTTAAGCATCTAGTATCTCTGTTGCAAATGCCTTTAATCATTTTGTCACTCGTTTTAGGTCATAGGTGAACCTTCTCAACTGACTTTTTCCCTCCTTCCTTCCCCAGGTAGGAGCTCAGGTACCCCCAGGCTGGCCTCATACTTGCTGTGTAGTCCAGGATGACCTTGAACTCCTGCCTCTGCCTCCCAAATGCTAGAGTTACAGGCCTGTGCCCTCACATCAGGTTGTTTATTGGTGGTTGGTTGGCTTCTCTTTTAGCTAGCTGGAGCATCCACAGCCTACTGCAACAAACAGTAAGTTTTCCATGCAGCCATATGATAAGATACGATATTGTTAAAAGAAGGAAAAAAGCAACGAGTAAAACGTTTTTGTGTGTTCTATACAGTCTAGCAGTTGCTGCTTATCTGGTTCACTGTAGTGGGTGCCATAGAAGTGGGTCGATGGGTATGTTGCCTTTCTTTTCCCTCTGGCAGAGTCAGCCATCTATTGCAGTGTGAGACAGTGGCAAAATGTTGTTAATGAGGTTTGAATCAGCTTGCTGTGTGCTGCTGTTGTATGGAACATGTAGTATTATTAAAAGTTGTGTTGTGTGGCAAGAGAGAGAGGTATGTAAATTCTTCTGACTCTCTTCCTTGGGCTTTAAATCCTGGCTGAACCCTCAGCACATTAGACTACAACTGTAATTATACCTGGGCAGCCTGTTTCCTGTTTTCGTGATGGACCCAAACATCATGATTTGCAGTGATGATCTCTTGCCCTTTGTGTTAGAGGCAGCATGTTTTGCCTACTGAAAACAGATTTGTAGCTCAGTTGTACAAATTTCTTTCCAATGTTTTGAAGATTAGATAGTAAAATTATACTGTTTTACTTCTTAGTAACTTGTATTGAAATTTAATTTAAAAATCTTTTTCATATGCATACTCTTCAATGGCTTCTTGTGTAGATTTTAATTTACCAATGACTTGTGTAGTGTGAATCAGGAAAGCTCTTGTTTGTAACTTCTCAGTGTTTACTATTACCAGATGTATATGCTGGTTTAGGCAGTGAGAACCACATCAGGGCTAAATCAGACCCTTTCTTCCTCCAGTTCATCTGTCTCTGCATCACATTTATTTCTAGTCAGATGTTATAAGTGCTTTGTATTGAGAACATTGTGTTTCTTTAGGTGTTGTAGGCACCTTAGGTCCTCTGGTTTGCCGGTGCTGCCTGGGGTCAGGCCCTGGAGCCAGTTCCCTAGTTGTAGTCTGAGGAATGATTCTTATCTTCACTAGGTGACAGTCTGGAGAAAGACAGGGAGAGTAGGCTCTAAGAAAGCTGTGCTGCATAGGTTGTTTCTCATCAAAAAAGATGATGAAGACCTTTCCCCTCAAGCTCTGTTGACCTGTACCTTTTCACACCTTGTTTTTCCACTTCTGAACTTACAGTACTAGCAATTGGATTTTCAGGGCAGGGTCATCTAGCTTATTGCCACTACCATACATCTTTTACCTGCAGCCAAAAATTTGACTGTGACATGTATGTTTACATTTAAGTCTTTCAGAAGAATTGCCAAAAGCTAGATGGTTGCTAGGATTCTCTAATTTCCCAGTCTTTTATTTTATCTTATTTTTTTTTAAGACAGGATCTCACTGTATAGGTCTGGCTGTCTGTGCCTGGATCTCACTATGTAGATCAAGCTGGCCTCAAACTCACAGAGATCCACCTGGCTGTGCCTCCCTAGTACTGGGATTAAAGGCATGTGCCACTGTCTAATTTCCAAATCTCATAGGTTCATATATTTCACAACTTGGAAAGATTTAATTACAGAACAATAATATTTTTCATACTTACTCAGCTAGTTCTGGGTTCTTTGTGCTGCTCTCCTTTATGCTGTTTTGTTACACTGCAAGTAGTGAAAGCAGTAAGAGCCACAAACACCCAGTGTCCTTCCCACCTTCTCAGAACCAGTGCTTCAGGAGGCTGACATTTTGCAATTTTAACTTTGGTCTCAGAAGATTTGTGCTTTCATAGTGCATTTTGTTTTTCCTGAAGTAGTGGGGTCTGCCTTTTTTCCTGGGTGGTGGCTGCATAACTTGAGGTCTGATTATCCTGATTTGTATTCCTTGGTAGAAGGGACACTGCAGAAATACTTGAAAGCTGTCTGATTTTGCCCCGTATTTGCATCTTTCTGTTCTCTTGGCTGAGAGTCTAGTTAACTCATTGACAGTTCCATCTTCAGAGTTGGGTGCAAATTAATGACTGCCAGAACTTGTGCTCTGAGGTGCACATGAGATGTGAATGACATCATTAGAGGATTTTTTAGAATGGATACTGTAGAGTGACAACAGCTAGCTTCTCTGCCGCAGAAGTACATGAAGAGCAACAGTGATTTTGTTGTAATTGAAAGGAGAACACTGAAAAGTAGACTGGCCAGCTGTTCCTGGCCTTGTGCCTACAAGCCTGTACAAGCCCCAGTCTACTTCTGGTGGCAAGGCAGGGAATCTGGCAGGCTCTGTGGGGTGAGTGATACATCTAGACCAGGCTCTGCTTAATTAGAGGACTTAAAGAAGCAGCTGAAGCTTAAAGGGTGGTGAAAAATGTGAAAACAGAACTCTGGATGTGAGAGGTGAAAAGTAGAGACAACTGTGGGCCCAAAAAGAGTGAGCATAATTGTGCTCCTAGAAATGTCAGGACCCATGCTCATCATCCAGAGGGCTTCGAGAGCTTTTCAGAACCTCGTATGTCCATTTAAATTTAATTTTTATATATATAAGTGTTTTTCCTTCATGTACATGCCTAGTGCCAAAGGAGCCCAGAGGGGGATGTTAGAACTGGAGTTACAGTTGGCTGTGAGCTGCCTTCTGGGTGCTGGGATTTGAACCTGGTTCTCTGCAAGAGCAGCAACTACTGAACTATTTTGCCATCACATTTTGGTGTTTTTGAAATTGGTAGTCAGAGTTGGGGAAAATGGTGATTTTTTTTTTTTCAATCCTTTCTCTAGGAAAACAGTGAGGTGTTCATGTGATTGTAACTTTTCTCCCTTCTTAGATTTTTTTTTTTTTTAAGAGTTAGATTTATGAATCTAGAGGAGCCATGGGTGCCTATTTTCTGTTTTGTAGATGCAATCTACAAGTTCTGAGGTAACTGAATACCTAGGTTTACTATCTTAGGCAGTAGTGGTAGGTGTCTCTCCCTGTGAGCATTAGTAGCCACTGACTGTTTATATTAAAACAGAAGGGTAAGAGCTTTTAAAGCTTCATCCTGACTAACCTAGAAAGTTAACTTTGTTGTGAATTTTCAGGTGGCTTTCTTCTAGTAACCTGATTCTGAGCTTCTTGGTTCCTGGACTTGCTACCTAATCTGGGATTCCTGTTTAAAATGTGGGAAAGTTTTATTTTGTTTTTGAGATGGGTCTCCCTATGTGGCCCTGGTTGGCATGGAACTCATAGACGAGCCTGGCCTCAAGCTCACCAAGATCACCCTGCCTCTGCCTTAAAGGCATGGGCCTTTTTTTTTTAAGATTGATTTTTAATTCTCTCTCTCTTTCTGTGTGAATGCACATGATTATAGGTGCCTGTGGAGGACAGAAGAGACCGCCTCGTCTTTTAGACCTGGAGTAGTTGCAGGTGTTTGTGAATCCCCTGATTTGGATGTTGGGATCCTCTTCAAGAACAACCTTGAGCCATCTTTTACCTCTGAGCCATCTCTCCCACCCCAAGATGCCTATAAAGAATTTTGGGAAAAAAATGGTATTGTAATGCTGTCTCTTGTAAGAGAATCCATACATGTGGAAAGTGTGTGTGTGTGTGTGTGTGTGTGTGTGTGTGTGTGTGTGTGTTTAAGGAATGTAGAAAAGCTTTGTTAACCTTAACTGACATCTACCTATATGTGTAGGTGAGTAACTAAATGTAAAGAATCCAGGAAAGTGTTGCCACATGATGAATCATCACTTCACGTCTGTAAACACAAGCAGTTGCAGGAGTGTATGACAGGGAGTTGCATAGAAAACCTTGGAATACAATTTCCGGCCTCCTCTGCATTGGAAGTAGTGTCTACTACCCGTGAGACACTGTACAGCAAAGTAGCCAGGGTCACATGCTTTCATTCCAACCCATTTGTGCCGTGGTGATAACTGTTCTCTGAGACATGGGTTGAAGGCTAGCCTGACAGCACCCGTTGCTTATCCAGAAAACCGAAAGCGACTTTACTTGACGTAGACCCCATGTAACATCCTGACTAAAGTCTGTGAAAGTCAGATGGCATCAGAAGCCCAGTGAAGATGGTTAAGCAGAAGAGTACTGAGGGAGATAATCTGGCTTTGTCAGACGAGTCAGGAAATCCTATGAGCATAGGGCTAAGGAAAAGGCATCAACCCCACTTCCTCAGTAGCACTATGGAAGTGAAAACCCAGATGTTAAAAGAATTTGTCTTGGGATGTGGCTCGCTGTCTGTGTGCTTATGAAGCTTGTTTAATATGTTTAAAATTTAAAAATTTAAAAAATTCTTAGATGTTTTGGGTCAATTGATGGGGACTTGTGGGTCCTTGTGGAACATTGGTTTAACGGGATAATATTGTCAAGAGTTTGCTGAAAGCATTGGGGGAAATTTGAGGAATGTTTTTTGCTTGCCTTTTATGTTGGGTTGAAGCAGGAAGAGATGTTTGAGCAGAGAGTGAGGGAGCTGCTGAGTTGTGTGCATCAGTCTGGAAAGAATGTTGGAGAGTGGGTTCTGTGTTGGTTAGGATGAGGGACGAGCTTGAGTTACTAACAACTATCTGTGTTAATATGACTTTGCAACATTTTATCCTTATATTTAATGTGTATGTCATTAAAGTCCTGACCTTTGTTTAGGCTCCTTATCAGCCTTTCCAAGTCAGCTGATGACAAGCCCCATTCTTCAGTTGCTCAGGCTGACGCCTTGGAATCATACTGACTGACTTCTGTTCTCACGGAGCCGTATCTCTCCGTTAAGAATTCTGTTGTCTCTGTCTGCATCTTGCCACACCAGTACTGGCACTCAGGTGCTAGTCACCTCCTCCTCTCTATTAGATCATTTCAACTCTAAGCACACTAATGGAGCAAGTCTTTGTATGGCTTTGAGGCTGGCCTCACTCTGTAGCTTTAGCGGGCGTGGAATTGTTATGTAGACCAGATGCACCTGCTTCTGCCTCCTGAGTGTCAGTCAGAGGTGTGGGCTGCCATGTGTGGCACCAGAGTAATTCTCAACAAATCAGTCAGTAATTGTGCCTTCTCAGCTGTCTTCCATGTTTGACCTACAGTAGAAACTGAATCTCTTACTGTTGCCATGACTGTTCTGCTTCTCTTTACTCTTTGATTCCCATTCTTACTTTCTCCCCTACTCACTTTATTTCCAGGGAACAATGAGTTCCTTGAATGTACCTTTCCCCTTAGGGTCTCTGCATTGCTTTATATGGTTTTCACTTATTTTCTTTAAAGTTTTGGTTCATTTGGTACCTTCTCAATGAGGCTTGGCCTAGCCATCTTATTTGAAACAGTACCTCTCTCCACACTCCCATTAACCTTTCTCTGCACCCCCTGATTTTTTCCTTCTTAACATTTTTGGATTTTTGATACAAGGTCTTGTTATATAGCCCTGAATAATCTGGAACTCACTGTGGATCTGACCCATTTTGAATTTGTTGGGAATTCACCAACACACTCTGCTAGCTGTTGCCTAACAAGCATTTTGTATGCTTCCCACTGCAGTCTTTAAGTTACAGGAAGACAAGGGTTTTTGTCCCTGGTCCCTTTACCCCAGACAGGGTTTCTCTGTATAGCCCTGGCTGTCCTGGAACTCCCTCTATAGACCAGACTTGCCATGAACTCAGAGATTCACCTGCCTCTGCCTCACAAGTATTAGAATTAAAGGCTGTGCCATCACACCCCTTTCACCTGTGTTCCCAGCTCATAAATAGTGACTATGAAATGAGTGACTTAAATAATTTATTTTTAAATATTAATTTCATTTTAAATTATCTGCCTTGGGATAATAGCCAAAGCTGAAATCCGTGATAAGGGTTGGAATTTAATGGTTGGTTCTTGAGCAGAATGTTACAGACAGAAAACTGCATTTGTAAAATCAGAGAACAAAAGGTAGTCAGTCTAGAAAGAAATACATATTTTTAAGAATTGAGATCACGGATGTTGCTTCTGGAGTTTCGCTGTCTCAAAGGTAGCACCTCATTTGCAGCAGTGACACACTGGGAAGTCCTGTGTGCCTGATTGAGATGCTCTTTTTTGGTCCCTCTTTGTCTCTTGATACCTCAAGTATATCTAATTACAGCTTAAATTTATATATAGTTTTTATAAAAACTGGTGTCTTTTATGCTAAATTATTATGAAAGGAGATTGTGGACCATCTGCACTGTTCTCTTTTATAGTACCTGTGCAAATGATGTAGAAAAAGACACCCTCATTTTCTCTTTCAACCTTGCATAATGAACAGACCGCATAGCCTGGCATCATGCTCCTGCTAATTCTTTGAATGCTGAATGGTAGCTCAGAGCTAAGACAGTCAAGGCTCAGAGTTGACCTCTGACACTTTCAGAAGTAGTTTGTTGCATATTGTTTCTATTTTCCTGCTGACTTGGGATGCAGTGTTTACAGAAATATTTTCTAGTCTCGTTCGATTGATTTTTCTTAAATTAATTTTAATCTAGAAATTTATGTATCCCTAAATAAATTAGAGGAAATAATTTTGAAATATGAATGTTTTCTGATTATATAAGTCTTCTTAGTGAGGTTTGTAATATGGTTGAGACAGGTCTATACTTAGGTTTTTAAAAAGTTGGATTTTTTCCTTCTGTTCAACTAAGTTATTTACTCACTTTTTTGTGGTGCTTAGGATTGAGCCAAGTGCCTTGTACAAATGCTCAGCTATATCTTCAGCCCAGCAGTGTTTCTTTTGTTTTCTTTTTTTTTAAGTGTGTGTGTGTGCAGTGTACATTTATTGCTGACTAAATGAAAACAGATACTGTTTTTCCTCAGGAATTTACATTCTCTTGTTGCAGATTGAACAGATAATGTGAACATAGGTATGGAAGTGCTGTGTTTGAGGCAGTAGATACCTTAAGTCTATAATAGAGAGGTTTCTTAGGCCGATGATTCAGAGACTTCTCGGAAGATTCAGAGACGTCTTAGAAAAGAGGTATTCGAGTTGAAAGATGTATATGGGAACTTTTGTAACATGTCTGTAATGTAATGAATTGTTTTTTATAATGCATGAATGCTGTTTGTTGTTGGAACGTGGACTTTGGTTTAGGAAAACAGTTGACTACTTTAAGCAAGGTTTAATGAGCCACACTCTCAGGGACATGGAAGACAGTGCTGCTGAGAGCAATGTAGATCACGATGGCCCAGCTCAAGAGGTTTCAGAGGAGAAGAATATTTGTAAGTTGCCTAGAGACCATCCTTGTCATATTTTGGCAAGGAATGTGGCTGATTTTTGCCTTTGTCCTAATAAAATGCCTGAAGCTATTTGAAGAGCTCTGGCAGAAGAGGTTTCAAGACAACCTAGTATGACTGTGTCCTGTGGTTATTAGTAACCACTCTTAGGCAGGTCTATAATGAAAAGGAGAAGCTGGGCAAAGAGAAATATAATGAAACTTTTGGTTTCTTTAAAAACTCAGTTATGTTATGTTATGTAAACATGTTTTTGTTTTAATCCCAAGTGTGGGATTTTAGTTTGTCCTTTACTTTGTCCACAGCTGGTAATTGCCTCGTGTAGGGCCGTGGTCTTTGCTGGCTGGAGTTAAATTGTGAGGACTCTGAAGAGTATAAATTTGAGAGCCCAGAGAGAGAATGTGTGATGGCTTGGAAGAGACAGATGGAGAAAGAAGGTGTCTGGTTACTTGGACTGCTGGTTATCCTTGCTATGAGATTGGTGTTGCCCCAAAGAACCCAATGGCCCTAATCAGTAGGAACCAAGTCTAAAGAGATCTATGTCCCCTCTCCCCACTAATCTTCTGTCTCTCTTGCCTAGAGTTGGAGGGTTAGTGGAAAGGAGTTAGAGGCATTAAGGGACCCCAAATAAAGTAGAGTTTAAAAAACTAGCACCTACAGAGAACTATACAGTTTGAGGAGAAAAGGAATAACAGAAAGTGTATTGGAGCTAAATCAGTGCTCAGTGAAATAAAAAGCCTAAAGAAAATCCTTTTGCTAAATGAAATAAAGGGAGTAGCGACTTCAGGACAAGACCCTAACCAACTAAGCTTCCACCTTGTGAAAAGGAATTCAAGAAAAGAAAACCATTGAAAATAGAAAGCTGATGAAATGTATTTGAACTAAGGGGCCATGTTCTATCCCCAGCAAGTAGCAGAGCTTGGTAGCCTTGGCCACATGGTTCTAGGTTTAGAGTCAAGGATACAGAATCTTCCTCCTTAGCTAAGGAAAGCTGCTGAGGCCAGGTTTGTGTAGGGGTGTCCCTGCATGGAGTCCTAGAAAGGTCAATGTGTGAAGGTATAGCCTGTATTGTGTTGGAGACACCAAGATTTTAGAGGTGCCAGAGTTGTTTTCTACTTCCAAGGAGAGCCACAGGGTATAGAATCAGCTTAAGAGAAAAAAAAGTGTGTTGCAGGCAACAAGGCTAAAAGGATTGCTTTGACATCTGACATGAAGATGCAGAGTTTGGAGTGTGTCCTACTGGCTTTTGGTCTTGCTTTGTCCAACATTTCCTCGCTATGCTTCCTTTCCTCCTTTTTGGAATGGTAATGTATATTCTGTGTCATTGT